CGAGTAACGATTGTTCCATATAATTTTGATGAGTACGGATTGCTTGTTGTTTTCTACTCCCTCCGTCCCAAATTGAATTGCAAACTTTGATCGGCACAAGGATTAAGGAATGACAACAATCTTGCTTTTTACACTTTTGCCCATCTTTTTAAAAGTAGATGCCTTTAGGTTAATGGTGAAAAAGTAAAAGTAAGGGTAAATTTGTAACTTTATTCTTATTTACATACCTAAAATAGAAAGTGCAAAACCATTTTGGGACAACCAAAATATGGAATTTTGCAAATCAAATCGGTACAGAGGGAGTATCATTTTGGCCCACCTTATATAAAGTAGTTGTGATACTCAATCTGTTCTCTTCTACTTATTCAATCAATCTTTACTTAATTACTTCTAATACTTCGTATTTGCCATATAATTTTTACTAACAGTAAATACAAAGATAAGTTTTCATCTCTTTTTCTACACTACTCTACGTACTATACGCTTTCACGTTCTTTCAAAGTTTTTACTTTTCTACACTAATCAATGTTCTTCTCTAGTTACTTCATTTTTCTTAAAAAGCCTACTTATTGGAGTACTGAAAATGTACAGAAATGATATGCAAGAACTTATAAGCTGAGAGTAAATCTAACTAAAAGGCATAAATATGCCCCTATCTAGACCCCTCAAACTTATATTTATGAATTTATCGATAATGAATTCAAGCACAACCTGACTGTCTTTACCTAATAACTTTGAGGCCGGCCTAGACTAAGTAAATTAAAGTTAAATAAGACTATTATATTGATCTCAGAATTTTATATCAGTCTATATCCATCATATTTGATGAATCAAGGCTCTATCACATGATTAAATTGGAGAATGAAATAATATAATTATATTGAAGGTAAATTGGTCTCCGGAGGAAGCGGATGCTTAGAGCATCTCCAATGCTTGGGTGCATTGGAGCTTATGTGGCTAATAAATGGAGAAGGTCTAGAGCCAAAGTGAGAAAGAAGGGTCTGATGCATTTAAATGAAGCTCCAATGCGGAAGAGGGAAAGCAAATAAAAAATGAAGATATGATGAAAGAGAAAAAGAAATGCTTTGTATTTGCTTGGAGGATGTGTCAGAAGGTGGCATCGAAGGTCTCAATGTAGACCCTTCCCTAGACCTTGTGCTTTGCCACGTCACACTTAGGGAGTCCATTTATAATGCCATTGGAGAGTACATATTAGTCTACAAAGTGCATTTGGTGAGTTGGCATCCCAATGCACCCATGCATCGGAGATGCTCTTAGGGTGTAAGGGAGCTAGGCTATTCTTTGGGTACGGGATAATAGGTGGAGATGTGGAGTAAAGTGGTGATCGAAACGGATGAAGCTTTGATTCTTTCAGGAATACAAGAATATTCATATGCGACTCAGATTGGAGTTATTTATGACAACATCAAGATAATATTAAGACATGACTAGGAAATTCAGGCAAAATGGTGTAGAAGGGAAGCAAATCAAGTGACTCGCTCTATTCCATTCTTTCTTCTCCACGTCCTATATTATAAGTTGGTTGGCTAACGATATACATTTATAAAATCGGGCAACTTACTTTAAAAATTAGTATTTTTTGCACTAAATAAAATCGATGTAAATAAAAGAAATGGTTAACTTAAAGTTATACCTCATTTACGAGTTTTACAACCACGCTCATATGGAGAGAAACGGCAACAACCCAGTTACGAGTGAACTATAATTCAAAATTAATGGAGTTGCAGTTGTAAACAAATGCAATCAGTAATATACTTTTTTGAGGAAAGTGTTAGTTTGGTACATCAACTTGGGAGCGGGGGAGTAAAGAGTACATGAAGCTGAAATTGGGATTCAACGGTACATCAATTCACCAAAATGGGTCTAATTTGGTACATCGGGTTATTAGGTCTGCTAACTTGCTGACCTGGCCAACGGATTAGTGGCATGGCGTCCAAATTAGGCACCTCAACCGCATACAGACACGTTGGTAGTTAATAACCCTAACTGTAGTGCTCGTTTGGGAAATCTGAGAGGAAAGCACCGCAACTAAAAGCGCTGAGAAGAAGATTGAACACCCTAAGTCGAAGATGAAGATGGGGTCTTCTAAAGTCAGGTATGCCAATGTCAATTTCGTACTACCTTACTGCTAATACATGTTTTACGTTTTGTATAAAGTGAGTATAAGTACATGAGCATTCAAAATAAGTACATGTGTAACACTTGAGATTTAATTTAAAAGGATTAATAATACTACTCATACCAACAGAGGTGCATCTCCTTTTAAGGGAACTCATCACCCAAGAACTTCAATGTTAAGCGTGCTTGCACTCGAGTAGTCTTGGGATGGGTGACCCCCTGGGAAGTTTCTCAGGGCGCGCATGAGTGAAGATAAAGTGCGTGATAAAAGCTCGTGGTGGTTTGTGAGGACAGTACTAGAGGTCAGGAGTAACTACCTCGGGTCCTACGGGGCCGGGTGTTACAAATGGTATCAGAGCAACCCTGCGACAGTGTGTTGATCCGTTGGATATCGGGCGGGCACTTAGCAGGGGAAAAGATTCTGGGATATGATTGAGATTGGTTTATGGGCGCAACGAGGATGTTGCGTTCCTAAGTGGGGGTGGTTGTAATACTTGAGATTTAATTTAAACGGATTAATAGTACTACTCATACCAACAGAGGTGCATCTCCTTTTAAGGGAACTCATCACCCAAGAACTTCAATGTTAAGTGTGCTTGCACTGGAGTAGTCTTGGGATGGGTGACCCCCTGAGAAGTTTCTCAGGGCGCACATGAGTGAAGATAAAGTACGCGGTAAAGGCTCGTGGTGGTTTGTGAGGATAGTACTAGAGGTCAGGAGTAACTACCTCGGGTCCTACGAGGCCGGGTGTTACAACATGAGATGGATTGCATTTACAATAACGGTATAAGATGCATTGAACATATGGAGGGTCCTAGTACTGAAATGTTAACAAATTTATTATGAAACAGACAAACAAAGGAGGGTCCTACTACTGAACTTCTGTTCATTGTTGATTTGGGTTTTAAAGATCCAATTCTTGAGGCAGAAGCAGGTCTACTGTTTGAGGATGAGGTAAATTCTGAAAATGAAGATGACGAGGAGTTACTCCATGCTAGGTTATTGCTAAAGAAGCTGGTGACAAAGTCAAAGATTTCTGGTAAAAGAACAGACCACAATAGCTCTACCAATGAACCATTAGTTCAAGAAGAGGTAGGTTTGGAGGATGATGGCAATGACACAGAATACTTCAGTTCAAGCGATGAAGGAAGTTACAAATCTGGTTCTGACAATGAAGAAGAAGATATTGCAAGACTAAAATCCAGATTTCCATGCTTCAAACCAAATGACAAGGTTGATTTTACTTTGGGAATGAGCTTTGACTCAAAAAGTCAGGTAAAGGATGCTATGAATAAATACTCTATGAGTAACATGTATCCCTTCTATTGGGCCAAAACTGCTCTCCACCATGCTTAGGGCCAAGTGTTCAAATTTGAACAAGACTTGCACATGGATGACCTACTTTGGCATTGAAAACAGAAGTAGCAGTAAGAAGTGGGTGATGAAGACCTTCCACAAGGACCATACCTGCAATCCTGGCTGGCAAATTCCTAGTGCCACTGCAAAGTGGTTGGTGCAATTTTTTTTTCAACACTAAACCCGGTGTGTCTGACATGAAAACCAGTGCTATGAAAGAGATGGTTAAGAGAGAACTCTATTGTGATGTATCTCTGGAGCAAATGAAGAAAGCAAAGTCAATGATAAGAAAACAGGAAAAAGGGAAATATAGAGGGTGAGTACAACAATTTGGAGGATTACAAAGCTGAAATCCTAAGGTCTAATCAAGGAAATACATGCATATTACAAATTAAGCAGCCCAGTTATGTGTTTGAAAGATTTTATGTATGCTTTGATTCATGTAAGAGAGGTTTTCTGGAGGGTTGTAGAAGGTTAATTGGGATTGATGGTGCATTCTTAAAGTCTGAAGTAAAGGGAGAAATACTCACAGCAGTAGCAAGGGATTCTAATAATCAAATGTTCCCAATTGCATGAGCTGTTGTGGGGTCTGAGACAAAAGCAAAATGGAACTGATTTCCTGAGCATCTAAGACATGATCTGCAGATTGGAAGAGGAGCAGGGTGGGCATTTGTTTCTGACCAACAAAAGGTGAAATAGTACTGCAATAGGGATTATGTGTTGGCAGTAATGAATACTCCCTCCGTCCCCTAAAACTTTGCCATCTTTCCTTTTTGGGACGTCCCAAAAAACTTTGCCACTTTCCCTTTTAATCGATTATTTTGTGGTTTCTATTATTTCTCTCTCCTCTTCACAAACCTCAATCATACAGTTTTTACTTTATTATTCTCCGTGCCGGTCAACTTTGGTAAAGTTTTAAGGGACGGAGGTAGTATTTTATTTTCTTGATTCTGTTGGCAGGTTTCTAATGTGTTTGTATGTCTTATATTCCTTTGTCCCTTTTTCAGGGCTTAATGCCAGCTTTGTATGAGACTGTACCAGAGGTTGAGCATAGAAGATGTGCTAGGCACATTTATGCAATATGGAGAAGAACCCACCCGGGTATTGAATTGCAAAGACAATTTTGGAAGTGCTGCAAGGCTGCCTCCAAAAGAGAGTTTGAACAGAATCTTGAGGGCCTCAAATCTCTTTCCACTCCCGTAATGCAGATCCTATTTTAAGGGCAATGTTTTAGTTAAAATATTTGAGGGCAGGTTTTATTGTCAGTAGTGAATATTTGCACTACTTTGAGGTCAGTTCTTGAGGTGTTTATATCAGGTGTTATCAGGTTTTGTTTGTAGGTCAATATATGACATATCAGGTCATTGTTTAAGGACAAATATCAGGTCATTGTTTAAGGACATATTTGAGCTCATTGTGAAGAATGATCATTGTTAAGCTATTTCAGGTCATTGTTAAGCTCATTGTTGCATATCAGGACAACCATTTACTTCATTGATTCACTACTAATATCAAATGGTCTAAATAAAAGTCATTCTACATATCATTGGAAGAAACAGAGTACAAATACTATGCTACATCATAGCAAACTCACTGATACACCTACATACATAAACTTAAACTGATACATCAAACCTAAGCAACTCAGAAATCATACCCAAGTGTTACACCTAGGAAGTGATACATCAAAGCTAAGAAAGTCATACATCAAAGCTAACAAAATGATACATCAGTTCATAAAACTTCCATGCAAACTTAATCCATGCCAGCATCACACATCTTCGAAGCTACCTTCTTCTTGCTTCCACTGTCATTCGCAACAAGCCATATGACAACCAGCAGTAATCATGCAAGAATGCACCACAAGACACTCCAAATGTTTAGTTTTTTAGATATGCCTTTTTCCTTTGCCTTCTCCTCGACAAGCTCAACTTCCAATTTGTTTATTTTCCTCAACAAACCAGGAATAATCATCTTGGACCTATAACACATTTCTTCATCAAGCCATTCAAACATGTTGAAACAGGCACCTGCAGCCTATTTGTAATAATACCATTAATACAAGAAGAATCAAAATCAAGAACAAATCAAAAATAACATATTGTTATCATTGAAATGCCCTTACTCTTGAGCAGGCGATGAATCATCTCCCTGGATTGTCATTTGTCCATGAAGTCATTATCTTTGCCGGAATTCCACAATAGCAATTTCCATAAGACATTTCACCGGTTCCCAAACCTGTAACCGAAATGAAATGCATTAGTTTTTGTCATGATCTGAATACAATAGAAGATTAACAACAAACACAGACCTTCACCTTCGCAGGAGGAAGTCGATATGCAGGAGGTCAGAAATGAAGAGAACGAACTCATCTTCACCGTATATTCTAGGGTTCGATAGGAGTACAATAGAAGATGCTGACTTGAAGGCCAGTTTATGCGGCTGAGGTGCCTAATTTGGACGCAATGTCACTAATCCGTTGGCCAGGTCAGCAAGTTAGCAAACCTAATAACCCGATGTACCAAATTAGACCCGTTTTTGGCGAATTGATGTACCGTTGAATCCCAATTCCAGCTTCATGTACTCTTTACTCCCCCGCTCACATAACATCCTAATGAATCTTGATGACAACCTTTAGGTATGCCGTTATACCAACCTACATCTGCTTACCAGAGACCAGCCTTCCAATGTAACCCAATACAAAATAAAAGAGTATGACCAAAGACCAAGTGAAAAAAAGGAAACCAATGTTCTAATACAGATAAATAGTTACTTATAAGTCAAATTACATCGAATTTAGGCCACCAATGTTCTCTACTTCCATCATAAACGCTATCGATATTGAGGAAAAAGTTTACACCTAGTGCGGCTGCTACGTGAAAATCAACACAGTAATGAGTAATGACCTGCATAGACAAGATGAAAAGCATTAGCAATTAGAACCACAATTTCCCTACTGTATTGTTATCATTAAATCAATTTACATGTTGTCAACTGTCAATCTACACAACTCAACTCTCCTACTGCATGGCTGTGCTTAAACCAATTCAGGGTTATTTTACTAACTGTTGACAAAGTCCTCTTAAATTTATTGTGTATATTGTCAAATATCACCTATACACGAGTAAAAAATTAGTGTTGCTACCACATACCACTCTACATCTCACCAAATGAATCAAAAAATATTATTATGAAGGCACATCAGGGTGGTTCTAAAAATTCACATTAATTCAACTGTTCAACTGTTCAACACATTAAGTTTTATAATAATTAGTTCAACTGTTCAACACATTAAGATTTCTTATGATAATGTCAGGTGAAACTAATATCTTCCCTTAGGTTCTATTATGAAGGCACATCAGGGTGGTTCTAAAAATTCACTTTCATATAATCAATGCAAGTTTAACTTATTCTCCCACAGTCGTCCCTTATGAAAATTCTGAAACATGTTATCCACAAAATTGTTTGAAGACATATTAGGAAAGTGAAGTTTACCTATAATTCCTTTGATCATGTTATCATAAATTCTAAATCATATGAAAGCCAAAGTTGTGCCAAATAATGAGATTACAGAGTATCACATGAAATATCTAGATTACCTAGAAATACCAGTATTTCTTGTATCCTTGAGCAAATATTATATCCTTCACCACCTTGTTTACATCACATCCTTGTCAATTGCAGGCCATGATCTCATATCATACAAAGAATAACAAAACTTTCATGTTTTGATTGAAAAGCTCGCAAACAACCATTCAGAGTTATAGTATGTAAATAAATAAATAAACTCATTTGACCTCTTGATCGTCCCGCATCAAAGATCCTCCTGAAGATTTCCTAGGTATGTATGAGGCGTCAATATTTAGTTTCATTTCAGTCTTGGGTCGAGTCCATCTTACCAGCAAAGCTTTAGTCTTTACTTTCTTGAAATTATGAGGAATCAGATTTTCTGAGAGTAAGAACTCATAACCCAGATTAGATTTGAAGTTCTTCAAAGTGGTTGACCATTCTTGTGTAAATCTTTTGATTTGATAAATCAATGCATCCGATGATGAAGCTGTAGATCTATTTCCCCACACCATCTCTGAGTAGATTTTCCATATATGCCAGGATATTATCCCTGGCATATTATGCTTGAATATATCAAAAATGGATTTCTACCTCGCTTCTATCCACCAAGTCAGAAAGACCTGTTTAATCGAACATTGATATTCAGGAATAGCAAGGGAAAAACATCTCATGAAATATCTCCAGACATCATTTATCATTGAACAATGATAAAAAGTGTGATCAACACTGTCAGCGCTCTGTTTACATTTAGGACACATAGTAGGGAAAATGCGAAAAATCGTAGCTTTGAAACTGAGAAGATTCTCTGAAACAGGCAGCATTTGATTAAGAAGTTTCCATTGGAAAATCATAATCTATTGATTTTACAAGACTAAAAGCTTGAAATGTAATTAAAGAGCCCCACACTTTGATCATTTATCTTCATATGAGAAGAACAGTCAGATACCACTTACACACACACATAAATACAGATTATACCACTTAAAGTTTTCACCACAAGCATATATATGCTACTGAAAAAACTCTATATAAAATTGTTATTATATGGTGCATCATAACCAAGGATCAAAGCTTCTATAGATTGATGAATGTGGTTCCGACAACTTCACAAACACTTGGTGACACACATGGGTTTTCTTTTTTCACCCATAGCACTCTTAGAAAATGTAATTCTGACTACAGTTTCAAAAAAACTCTCAGAGATATCAAATTATCATTTAAATTACTTAATCAAGAAATTAAACAGAACGAACACACGACAATTTAAAGAGAAAAGAAAACTTACCCATGTCAAGAATTTGAAAGAAGCAAAAGGGAAGCAGATAGCTAACAACATTGGGTCCAAGAAAATCGCACGAACCGCCTAACGCATTCAAAAAACCTATACATGTAAAGAGACATCACATGCTGTCCCTTAGGTCAATTCCAATTGCTTTCCTAGTGTCTTCTAGTCAAACTTTTTGCAATCTTCCCCGAGCAAAGACCCTCCACTTGAAGTTTTGGGAATATAAGCACAATACTCACAAGACATAGAGTAATGCATCCCAGATAGATAAGCTGCTTTGATATAATGATATGTTTGATTTACATGATGCTCTTGTAGCAACTTCCTAACCCCTTTCACAATGAACTTTTCCATGTGGCGGAGTAGAAAGTTCAAAATCCTCAATAGATTTTATCAATTTTGCCCTTGGTTTGCAGTGTCAAAATAAGCTGGGTTTATCACCATGTCATCTCTTTGATTGAACAGTTCGAAACTAGCAGCTTATGAGTTTTTATTCTATACAGTCACCAATAGTCACCACATGTGCACTTTCCGTTCTCAAACCGATGAAACCGATTGTTGTCCCTCACAATCATTACTCTCCCCGTGCACTTGGACATAAATTTTATTGCATTGTGACAATCACCACAAACACGCAAGTTTTTCATAACTCTAATCGGCCTTTCTGGTGGAATTGTGATGAGTGCAAAAGCAATGGCTATTCTTTCACTGTGATACCTTATTGCTTCATTCCTCTCTTGATCACCAACTTGTTGCAACACAAAGTTAGTATCTGCCACATAACCAGCCCTCTCCATTTCATCCCCTAATTCATTTAACTTATGGTATATCTCCTTATATCTTTCGTGGCGTTTATCACCAGTAGCAAACATGTGTGTCCTGTTTCCTTCTTCAACCCAACTCAAACCAGTTTCCTTCTTCACACCTTGTTCTCTCAGCATCTTCCTTGCTTTAGCTGCATCTTCATATCTACCAGCAGCTGCATATGTATTGGATAGTAGCACGTGCAGGCCTGGACTCACGGGACCCAGTTCAAAAACCCTATCAGCCACATAAGCTGCCAATTCAGTGTTCCTATGAATGCGACAACCGGTCAATAATGCTCCCCAAACAGATTCAGTAGGTTTTATGGGCATTTCTTCTACTACTTTCAAGGCTTCTTGTAGTTTTCCAGCTCGTCCAAGGCAGTCAACAAAAGAAGCATAATGCTGATCCCCTGGCTCAATCCCGTAATCTTTCATTAACCCGAAATAATATTTCCCTTCTTGAGTTAGCCCTGCGTGACTACATGCATAGAGCACACACAAAAATGTGATGAAATTTGGCTTTATACCAGCAGCTCTTTCGATTTGTTTGAACAAGTTGAAAACCTTATTGGTGTGCCCATGTTGAGCACAAGCTAGTGCCATTGCATTCCACATGCCCAGATTCTTGGCTGAAACTTCATTGAAAACTTGATAAGCACCCTCTACAAGCCCACACTTAGAATATAGAGAGATTAACGAAGTTCCCACAAAACTGGATGAGTCATAGCTCGTTTTCAAGCATATCCCATGTATCTGCCTCCCTAGCTCGAGCGAAGTGGAAGTCCCACACAACCTGATTACACATGAATATGTGAAGTCATTCACATTCAAGTCTTCCTCCAAAGCTAGCTTGAAGAGCTTTAAAGCCTCGTCGCTCTCGCCCACCAGACCATACCCGCATATCATCCCACTCCAAGAAACAACATTTTTCTCCGGCATTTCATCGAACACATACCGAGCCACATCTATCTGCCCGCATTTGGCATACATATCCACCAAAGAACTGCCAACGAACACATCCGAATCGAACCCAGTCTTCAACGAACAGCAGTGTATCATTCCCCCGAGACGATGATCAGAAAGCATGGCGGAAGATTTGGTCGCACACGGGAAAGTATGATCGTCGGGCCTGACACCAGAACGCATCATTTGGCGAAAATACTGAAGAGCTAAGCCAGGAGTCTCGTTCTGGGCCAGCGAAGATATAACGGAGCTCCATGTGGTTGGTGACTTGACCGGGGACTCTGCAAAGACGAGCGTTGACTCAAATGGGCACTGGAGCTTGGAGTAGAAGTTTATGAGGTGATGGCAAACTAGTGGAACTGTGTTGACTCCGGACTTTATGGTGTGGGCGTGCAAGGCCAAGCCATTAGAAAGGCATTTCGAGCGGGTGGCGGATAGGAGGAGAGTGCATGTGGTTCTATAGTTTTGCTCGAAGCTGTGGTCGTTAAGAAGGTTGCGGGGTTTAGAAAAGAAGCGTATGCAAGGTAATGGCGGCGGCGGGAGCTGTTGAGGTTCGAGAGGCTCTTGGAGAAGTGTTTGATTCATTGGAACTCTCAAAAACTCGTTTCCTCCATTGCAATGATGCAAAGTTCAAGCTGCGTTTGACCTGCGGCGTAGCCAGGACAATAGAGAGGGGCGGGGCGGGGCGGATTCTTTGCACTACACATACGAAGTATTTCAAATGTAAAAGTCCATTTTGTCCGGATCTACTTTTTCCTTTTTTTTTTTTTTATAATCCAGGTGTCGGGGCGTACGCTCCCATAATCCTGGAGTCTATGAACTACCCTTCAAGGCCCCTAGACAGTTAAATCCGGATCTGATCACAGTCAGCCTCGTCAGTACTGGCTTCAAAGGACGAATCCAGCATGACTTACATCACCTTTCAGGCTGCTCCTCCCACCACACGAACCCGCTACCTTCATTACCATCCTCTCCATTCTCAACCGTTTAGCAACTCCGTGAAGGTAGGAAGAATCATTGGAAGCAAGACATCCATCATCTCCTCTTGGTGGGAATTGAACCTGATGGAGTATATGGCCCGGGAACCCCCAGCCCACAGACTCCTACTACTCCGGCGAAGGCCCAAAAGGTCCGAAAGGCCCAACAGGCCCAAATCACAGCGCCCAGAGTACCAAGCAGTCCGCACTACGCGCCAGGGGTGCCTTCGGCCCCCTGGCCGAAGGCTCCAAATTCTCACAGAACGGGTTTCTCAAGCAAATTAAGAAACTGGGAGAAAACGGCGAAAACAGTAGCCCTCGGCACTGTGAGCCCTCGGCACCAGGGTGCCATCGGTTGGAGGAGCCCTCGGCTACTGCTCTATGGCCGAAGGCTTCTCACTCGACAAGATATCCGCCTCACATGCGTACAGATCACCGTACCCCGCACAGACGTCCCGTCCAACAGCCGCATTAAATGCAGCCACATGCGGCTGCCAGCGCCAACCAGTTGAGGTGACCCCTCGGCCAATGAGCGCTTGACACGTGTCCTTGCCCGACATTTATTGCTACTATAAATAGCACCCCATTTCCTCATTTGTAACCACGCTGAAAACGGCATTCATACTGAATACACTCTCTCTCTACTTTTATTTACTTGCTCTGACTTCTCTCTAAGTTATTCCCCGTAATAACCCTTCGGATATATACCCCCGGGTAGACTATCCATCATTTGGTGCTCTCGTTGAGAGGTTGAACAATCGAGTAAGAAACCCTCCCCCTCGACCAAACACAAAACACTAGCCCTCTATCAAAATGGTGAGGACAACACGTGCCAACTCAAAGAACGTAGAAGACAAGAACCTGGCCCTCGGCGACGTCAACACCCCCGAAGCCTCTCACAGGGCTCCCGAGGGCGGTGTCATCGCTGGGCTGGAACAGGCGGCTGTCGACCTACGCCTTCAGATCCAACAAAATGCCCCCGATGCCCGCCTCGGCATCGAGGCCAAGAAGAAAAACCGGAGCGATGACCAAGTCAGCCCTCCGGTTCTCACCATCGACGTGCAATCGGCGCTCTCCGCCTTCATCCAGACGCTCACCCAGAACCTGGGTGCCTTCGGCACCCTGGCTCTAGCTCACCCTCAGATCGGGGAAAATATCATACTTCCCCCTCTGCCACACCCCTTCGGAAATCCGACCCCTCGGGTGAGAAACGACGAAGGGGTGGTGGCCCAAGAAACATCCTCCCAGGAAGTTCAGTCCCGGGACCGCCATAATGACAACAGGGAAAGGCCCCGTACTTCCGCCCTCAACCGGCTCGGAGGAGGGCCAGACCGCCGAGGGGTCCAAGACCGCCTCGGGGGGGAAGCACTCCAAAGGCCCCAGGAAAGCGGGGGATCTGTTTCGAGGGCAGACGAGGAGCGTCCCCCTCGGGACAAAGGCAAGGCACCCCTTCATGCCGATGATGCTCGGCACCAAATCAACCAGGCCCACTCGGCCCGGGTTCGTTCGCAGGGGGCGGAGACCCTCCCGAAGGATCCCCGGGATGAGATTATTGCGGCCCTCCAACGCCGGCTTGACGAGATGGAGTCCAACAAAGCTCACGCCACCTCCACCCCTCATTCAGATCTCAAATACGAGGCCATGATGGCCAAAATGGAGGAGTTACAGAAGAAGGTGGCCGAGGGCTCCGGGGAACCCGTCATCCAGCTCCGGACTCGGATGCCATTTACCCTGAGGGTATTGGCGGCCCGGATCCCGGAAAAATACCGAGGGCAACATATACAGCCCTACAATGGAAAAACGGACCCCCATGAACACTACAGCAAATACCAGAACAACATGATGATGGTGGAGGCGTCAGATGAATATTTGTGTCGCTGGTTCCTCTCCACCTTAGAGGGACCGGCATACGAATGGTTCAACAGGCTGCCCGAGGGCTGCATTGATTCGTGGCAAGAACTCGCCCAACGATTCTTGACACAATTCACCGGGAGGCGTCGCACAAGGAAGCACTTCTCCCACCTCTTAACAATACGCCAGAAGAAGGATGAGACCCTTCGGGATTTCCTGGAGCGCTGGAGGACGGAGGCCGACAAGGTCGACGGTGCTGATGACGGGACCCTCCTGGCCCTCCTACAAACCGTCCTCCGCACCGGTAACTTTTCAAGGAGCCTCATCATTGAACCCCCCCCCCCCCCCCGCGACTACATAAGGGCTTTGCAGCGGGGGGACCGATATGCTGAGGCCGAGGAGGTGGAGAAGTATCACCAGTATCCGGACCAGCAGCCCCCGAGGGCTGACAACAAGCATAACCGAGGGCCGGGGGCTCCTCCAAATCACCCCAAGACTTCGGGACCCTCTGATGACCGCCCTCGGCAAGGCCAAGCCAAGCCCGGGGGAGGTTATAAGAGCAACCCTAAGACTTGGGCCCAACCCATTCTCCTGGACCGCCCTCGGACACCATTGACGCACCCCGTGAGCATCATCCTCGATTTTGCCGAGGAGAGGGGCCTCGTTGAGCGCGACTCTCGCGCACCCCCGGAGGTACACGCTATCAATCCTCAGTTCCCCTACTGTCGCTTCCATTGGCACCAGGGGCACAGGACCGATGACTGCCATCAGCTGAAGACGGCCATCGAGAGATTAATACAGGCGGGGCACCTGTCCCAGTTTGTCCAGAGCCCTCGGCAGGAGGGACCTTCTCATCAGGGACCTCCCCGAGGGCACCATACGAAGGTAAATGCCTGGGTAAATCCGAACACCATCCCCCTCGGCAAGAAGAGGGAGATCGGAAACTTGGAAGAAGAGGAGGAGGAGTACCCCCACTACCAGGAGAAGAAACGCCACATCCTCATGATCACCGGTGGCAATACAGGGGGCGATTCCACCAGCCAACGAAAGAAGTGGGCTCAATCGCTTTACGTGGGGGAAGTCACTCATATGCCCCCGGTAAAGCGATTGAGGGAGGAACCCATCACCTTCACCAACGCAGATCTCCCTCCTACTTCTTCTCCTCACAGGGATGCCTTGGTGATTCGGACGGAGATAAACGACACCATTATTCACCGAGCTTACATTGACACGGGCAGCTCCGTCAATGTAATGTACCTCAGCACCTTCAGAGAGCTGCATCTGGAGAGGGGGTACCTTCGGCCCATTAAGACCCCTCTTGCCGGCTTCACCGGCGATACTATTGATTCCGAGGGGGTAATAACCCTCCCGGTGATCTTCGGCGACGGGCTCCATAGAGCCCAGCTCGAGGTGGAGTTCGTCGTCGTCAACATTGACTGCGCCCACAACATCATCCTCGGCCGGCCAGCCCTCGAGGACCTCGAAGCCATCATCTCCATGAGGCACCTCTGCCTCAAGTTCCCCGCCGAGGGGGGCATTGGCTACTCCCGGGGAACCAGAAAATTGCCCGCGCCTGCTATCTTCAGGTCACTAAGAAGGTAAGCAAGACGGAATTCCGTGTTGACACCATCACCGGAACCGTCGACCAAGAGGAAAGAAGGCCGAGGGCTGAATCGACCGAGGACGTAGAAGACTATGCGCTCGATCCGGCCCAGCCGGAGAGAGTCGTGAAGATTGGAGCCCAGCTCCCTGAAGATTTGAAGACCGATATCACCGACGCCCTCCGCGCCTACTCCACTGTCTTTGCATGGGGGCCGGAGGACATGCCGGGAATCAGCCGAAGGGTCATCACCCACCGCCTCTCGGTGGACCCCTCAGCAAAAGCAGTACAACAACGAAGGAGACCCCTCTCCGCCGAGAGGAGGGAATTCGTGAAGAAGGAGGTCGCCATGCTCCTATCAATTAAGCACATCAAGGAGGTGAAATACCCCTCATGGCTAGCAAATGTAGTCCTCGCACAGAAGCCCCCTACCTTCCGCATGTGCGTGGACTACACCGATCTCAACAAAGCATGCCCCATGGATCCATTCCCTCTACCAAATATTGATCAACTAGTGGATGAGACCGCAGGGTGTGAGATCATGTCCTCCCTCGATGCATTTCGAGGGTATCACCAGATTTTTATGCACGAGGAAGACGCCGAAAAAACTGCCTTCATGACTCCCGAGGGCATCTTCTGCTACCTAGTCATGGCCTTCGGCCTAAAGAACTCAGGGGCCACCTACACCCGGATGGTGGCCCGGGTCTTTCAAGCCGTCCTAGGGCGCACCATGGAGGCCTATGTTGACGACATGATCGTCAAGAGCAAACAATCTTCCAGCCATGCTGACGACCTCCGGGAAATCTTCGCCATCATGCAAAAATTCAACCTTCGGCTAAACCCGAAGAAGTGCACCTTCGGCGTCCAAGGGGGCAAGTTCTTGGGTTACATACTTACATGGTGAGCCGAAGGGGTATTGAGGCCAATCCCGAGAAAATCCAGGCCATCATCAACATGGAGCCCCCACGCAATGTGAAGGAAGTTCAACGGTTGACGGGCCGCCTGGCAGCCCTCAACCGCTTTCTATCTAAATCGGCAGAGAAGTCTCTACCCTTCTTCCAGATCATGAGGAAGACGGCTGGCTTTCTATGGACTCCAGAATGCCAGGGGGCTTTCGACGAGCTCAAAAGATATCTATCTTCACCTCCTGTGCTCTCCAAACCCAAGGTAGGGGAGACCCTCTACCTCTACCTTGGGGTTAGCCCGGCGGCCATCAGCTCTGTGCTCATCCGGGAGGAAGACGGCATCCAACATGCCATCTTCTACGTTAGCAAGACCCTAAGGGAGGCCGAGCTCAGGTACTCCCCTGTGGAAAAAACGGTGTTAGCCGTCGTTTGGACTGTCAAAAAGTTGGGCCACTACTTTCAGGCTCACCCGGTTCAGGTCCTCACTCATCAACCCCTCGGCGCCCTCATGAGGAGCCCCACCAGCTCCTCCCGCATGGTGAAATGGGCTATCTTCTTGAGCCAGTACAACATTGACATCCGCCCAAGGCCTGCCATCAAGGGCCAAGCCATGGCGGACTTTGTGACGGAGTGTACCGCAAGGGCAGCCACGGACGGGGAGCCCTCGGCTACCTCGGACGACTGGTGGACCCTCTACACTGACGGCTCCTCCGCGACCAAAGCATGCGGGGGAGGGGTAGTCCTCATTACTCGCGAGGGCTTCAGGGCCTACTATGCAATCCGCTTCTCCTTCAAGGTCTCCAACAATGAGGCCGAATATGAGGCCCTCCTATGTGGCCTTCGGCTGGCTGCCAACATGAGGGCTCGGCAGATCCACATCAAATGCGACTCCAAGTTGGTCGTTGGCCAAATCTCCGAAGAATATGAGGCCAAGGAGGGGAGAATGAAACAATACAAGGAAGCGGCCAAGGAGTTGCTTAAGGTATTTGAGGCACACTCTCTCACTCAAATACCGAGGGCTCAGAACTCCGAGACCGACATATTATCTAAGCTCTCGGCCGACTCCCCCGAGCACATCTCCAAAATTGCCAAAATCGAGGAACTCAGCCTCTCAAGCATCCATGCAAGCCCCGTTATGAACATACAACAACGTCAGGAGGATTGGATCTCAGATATCACCGCCTTCATCTCCACATGGCAGCTACCCGAGAATGAGGCCCGCGCTAAACTGGCAAAGCTGAGAGCTCCCAGCTACACCATCGAAGATAGAAGGCTTTACAAACGATCTTACAATGGCACGCTACTTCGGTGCCTTCATCCAGATGAAGCCGAGGTCGCAATGGAGGAAGTGCACAGTGGCACTTGCTCAGCTCACCAAGGACCCTTCTCCATGTCCCGAAGGTTCATTCTCCAGGGCTACTTCTGGCCAACCATGGCCAGGGATTGTGCTGACCTTGCCCGGAGGTGCACCGCATGTCAACATTTCCAGAAAGCTCCCGGCAGGCCAGCGGTCAACTATGCCCCCATCAGCACCTCTGTCCCATTTTCTCGATGGGGGATAGACCTTGTGGGCCCTCTTCCGAGGGGTACCTCCAACAACAGATACATCATTGTGGCCGTCGACTATTTTACCAAGTGGGTGGAGGCTGAACCCCTCGCCAGCATCATAGAGGCGAAGTGCCGTCACTTCGTCCTCAAGAACATCCTCACAAGGTTTGGCGTCCCCCAGCAGATCATCTCCGACAATGGGACACAATTTGAGGCAGCCCCCTTCTGTGCCCTTCTGGAGGCATGGGGCATCAAACACACCTTCTCCTCTGTTGCCTACCCTCAAGGCAACGGGCAAGTAGAGAATGCCAACCGGACCTTGCTCGAGGGCCTCAAAAAGAAGTTAGAGGCCGAGGGCGGTGGCTGGGTGGAAGAACTCCACAACATCCTTTGGGCCTATCGCACCACCCCTCGGCGAGCAACAGGTGAAACACCCTTCTCCCTCTGCTACGGTTTTGAAGCCAAAGCTCCTACGGAAGTCACCCTTCCCACCCGAAGGGTGATCCAATATGACCCCGAGGTCAACGACAGCAACATGGCCCTCGACCTCCACCTCATTTCGGAACGCCGGGAGCAGGCCTTCATCCGGGCAGAAAACTACCGAAGACAAGTTAGAAGCTACATCGACGCCAAAGTTCGCACCCGAGAATTTCAAGTGGGGGACTATGTTCTCCGGAGGAGGGAAGCCAGCCAACCAACCGAGGGAGGAAAAATGGCACCAAAATTCGAAGGCCCCTACATCATAGCAGCCATCATCAAACCAGGGACCTACAAGCTCAAACGCCCCAATGGGAAAGAAGTCCCTAGGCACTGGAATGTACACCATTTAGTTAAATTTTATCAATAATGTAAGGGCGGCCAAGCCCTCATAACTAGTGAATGTACTATCCTATGGCCCAAGGCCTCCAATTTCGAAGAATGAAGATACATTCAAGACATCAAGCCCTCATACTGACTACGGGCCCCAGGCCTCACCACGAGAAGAACCCCCTCCGGCACCAAGTGCCGAGGGCGGACACCATCAACACCTACAACAAACAGCGAAAACACCACGTGTTTTCAGTCAAGACCCCTCGGCACCCAGTGCCGAGGGAGGGAACTCCTATCACCAACAACAAGGAACGCCATGTGTTTCATTTCCCTTCAGCACCCAGTGCCGAGGGTACATTCCCACCTTCATCATAAAAAAGAAAAAAAAAAGAAAAAATGAGAACACCAAGTGTTCCTACAGAAGACCCTTCGGCACCCAGTGCCGAGGGTACATCTCCATCATCAAACATCGAAACGAAGAAAAAACACCAAAATGTTTCAAAGAAGACCCCTCGGCACCCAGTGCCAGGGATATGCTCTCCTATCGACTTCCAAACATCTGTTGGGAAACACCAAGTGTTTCATTTGAAGACCCTTCGGTACCAAGTACCGAGGGTAGACACCTACATCAACTACGACAAAAGAGAACACCAAGTGTTCCTACAGAAGACCCCTCGGTACCAAGTACCGGGGGCTACACATCGAAACTAACACCAAGTGTTGTTTCTAAAAGCCGTACCCCACGAGGACGCATATACCGACGGCGCCACCATCGGTGCCGGCGGCACGTAGTGCCCCCGGCCATTTGCAACTAGTGTGCAGATGAAAACCCTTCCTTGAAACGCTTTCCGCGTCACTACCCCCAGGGTATGACAGGCATGAGAAATGCCCAGGATTCGACTTTCAAAAACGGAACGCTATCCGCGTCACTACCCCCAGGGTATGACAGGCATGAGAAATGCTCAGGATTCGACTTCCAAACCGAAACGCTCCCCGCGCCACCACCCCAAGGGTGTGGCAGGCCACGGACTATGTCTAGCGCCGAGGGGACGACTTTCAAAAATGAGGCGCTTTCCGCGCCATCCCCCAAGGGGAGGCAGGTTACGGACCACCATATCTTGTGCCCAGGAAACGTCCCTCGATCCCCTCGGAACTCGGAAGGTTAACCCGAGGGAGGAGAGCCATTAGTGTATTCTGATGGTCTCCTAATAGGCCCAGCCTTACCAAGAAACCAAGTTTCTTGATGCCTTCCCTTCACCACCAACCAAAAAAAAAAAAGAGGGGGTGAAGGGGAGTAGACTCAGCGAGAAATCAGAGAGTACACTCCAACAGATCACAACAAGCCGAGGGCTCCCCACGGGAACACCTCCGGTAACTGAAGGCTCCTATTTCCCGAAGGATACTACTCAAACAAATATCATCAGGAAACGGCTAAGTCCACTGCCTGGTCACCTCCGGACGCACAGATACCGAGGGCCCTTTCCCCATGACAAGGGTCAAATTCTACAACTTTTAAAGTGTATGCCGAGGGCACACACTCCTCATTGGCTTTCTTCACAACAACAGGATTCAACATCAATTTATGCTTTGAAAAATTCTAAGTCCTAAAGGAGCAGCCCCCGGGCATCTCGCAAAGTAATGTAAAGTCAGAAGGCACCTATCACCTGAAGGCTACACAGGGAAGCAGCACTTGAAAAAATTCTAAGTCCTAAAGATTGGGCCCCCGACCCTATCCATATTACAGCCAAGGGAATATGGTGGCCGAAGGCCATGCAATACAACAACACTTAAAAAAAAAGGGGTATTCTGTCCTAAATGAGTAGCCCCCGGGCATCTCGCAAAGTAATGTGGAGTCAGAGGGCACCTGTCACCCGAAGGATCCCAAAGGGAAAATCTACACTTAGAAGATTTTCTAAGTCCTACATATTTTCCCCTCGGTCAACTACTCTTACATCAAGAAGGGATGCCATCTCCCGAAGGCTCCCAAGGGAACATCTACACTTAGAAGATTTTCTAAGTCCTACGTATTTTCCCCTCGGTCAACTACTCTTACATCAAGAAGGGATGCCATCTCCCGAAGGCTCCCAAGGGAACATCTACACTTAGAAGATTTTCTAAGTCCTACGTATTTTCCCCTCGGTCAACTACTCTTACATCGAGAAGGGATGCCATCTCCCGAAGGCTCCCAAGGGAAGATCTACACTTGGAATATTTTCTAAGTCCTACATATTTTCCCCTCGGTCAACTACTCATGCATCAAGAAGGGATGCCATCCCCCGAAGGCTCCAAAGGAAAAATCTACACTTAGAAATCTTCCTAAGTCCTACACATTTCACCCTCATCTTATAAAGGGACCTAATAGCCGAAGGCTACCTGTCAATCGAGGGCTACAGTGCACAAGGAATCGACCCTCAAGAAAATTTTCTAAGTCCTTAAGAATTGGCCCCCGGCCTATTCAATATTTCAGTTGGGGGCTCCCCAGTAGCCGAAGGCTACGTGACATACTACACTTGCAAGAAATTTCTAAGTCCTGTACATTGGGCCCTCGGTCCAACATTCACACATCAGGAAGGGATGCCATGTCCCGAAGGACCTCAAGGGGAAATCTACACTTAGAAATTTTTCTAAGTCCTAGGATTTGGGTTACTACAAACGCCCGAAGGCCCCATGCTGTGCTACACTTAGAAAAATTTTCTAAGTCCTAATTCCTACTGAACCCTCGGTTGCATATCCAGCAGAGGGTGCCCAACTACCGAAGGCTTCCAAGGGCAAGCTACAGTCAGAAAATATTCTAAGTCCTAATTCCTACTGAACCCTCAGTTGCATATCCAGCAGAGGGTGCCCAACTACCGAAGGCTTCCAAGGGCAAGCTACAGTCAGAAAATATTCTAAGTCCTAAAACATACATTCAAAAAAGGAGAAGGCATGCATCCAAAGCAAGGCGAAGGCATATATTCGACGATGAACAAATCAAAAGGAATCGTATCATATACACAAAGCCCGAAGGCAATCATTCAATTACGACAAAAAGAGTCAATGTAATCATTACAGACAGGCCGAAGCCGAAGGATCAAAGTTATTCATTACAAAATGTGTTCAGGGATTTCTAAGCGCCTATTACACATCAACAGCATCGTTCCCGGGGGCACCCTCCCCCGATGGCTTCGAGGTAACCTTCGTCCCGGTGGCGTCCTCGGCATCATCATCGACGCCCATCATCATGGAATCATGAATCACCGAGCGCTCTTCTCCCTCGGGGAGGGGGACCCGAACATCTGGCTGCAATGGGGGGAGGCCGTACACCGAGGGGTTGAACTCATCCAGGGAGGTGCCAAAATACCGGGCGAGCCTCCGGTAAACCAGGTGCTGGGTGAAGAACTCGCCAGCTTGATAGTAGGTGTCGCCCCTCTCATTCATCCAGTCGAGCCCGGGGCCCCTCACCCACTCCTCGATCGAGGCCTTCACCACAGAGGCCACCCACTCGCTCTGGCCCTCGGCCTTCCAGCCCTCGGAGGTGAACCCAGCAATGGCCTCTTCTCGGGCTTTTGCGGCAGCTTCAGCTTTGGCCTTCTCGGCGTCCTCGGCAGCTTGTTTTCTCTCCTCGGCCGCAATCCTCTCGGCCTCAGCCCTGCCCTCGGCCTTCCCATCTTCTCTGGCCTCCTTCAGCCGCAGCTCCGCTTGGCGAAGGGCATCCTCCAACTTGCACACCTCCCGGAGGGCAGCGTCCTTGTCACGAATCAGCTCCTCCACAGACCTCTCTAGCTCGGCCTTACGATGGCACCACTCCTCTCGCCTTCGGGCCTGCTCGCCGAAGGTTATGCACGCCTGTTGAATAACGGACAGAGGGGTCAGACGGACATTGGGATTATGATAAATATTGAGATCAAGTCAAAGTAAAAACACTTACAGTCAGAGCTGATCGAAGGGCCCTGGCTTCGAGGGCGTCATCGTTATAGGTGGAGAGGGCTTCTTTGTCCATCATCGAGGTAATCCCCCTCAGGAAAGACATCGGCTCGGCTGAACCGGGCAATACGGATGCCCCCGAAGCGAGGGAGAGCCGAATAATCTCCCGAGGCATCTTCCCCGAGGGAAGGTCTGTCTGAGCCATCGGAGTATCAATTGCCGGGGGGTCAGCAGAGGGCTGATCATCGAGTATTATGAGGGGGGCCGCCTTCTCAACGGCGTCCCCGGCAACCTTCTGCTTCTTGATCGGGGGCTCCACCCCCTTGCCCCCCTTTTTCTTTTTGGCTGCCACATCAGCCTTCGGCCCCCCGGCCGCAGTAACAGGAGCAGCAGCAACTGAAGGCTCTGCGGTCTCCTTCGGGAAAACCTCATCAATGGGCTTTTGACCCGAGGGCTCCGTCTTCTCCTTCTTCTGGGCTTGCGCCCTCTCCTTCTTCTTTTTCATTGCGAAGAGAGCCTCCATACCTGCAAAACAAAGCGAAGAGAATATTAACCCGAAGGGTACATACCAAAATCAACTATCGGGATGCAAAATGAAAGTGCCTAAGTAGGAGACTAAGGGCCCTCGTAGCCTACCTCCTGCCCCCCCGAAGGCCTCAGTGAAGACAGGATACTTCTCATCTATTTCCCCGATGAACCGGTACCGTTGGAACCCGAGGGCATGCAAGTCTTCCTCAAGAGTGCACTCTTTGATCGTCACGACCTTCTTCTTGCCCTCCGGGATCTTGGCGAGTTTCAGGCCATCTCTCTCTAGGGCGGCACTCCCCACCCTCTCGTGGCGCCGAAAGCGGTCCCGTAGCTCCCTCGGGAAGGGATTCTCGGACAACCGGACGTAGCACCATCTATCTTTCCAGCCCTTGTTGGAAGAGGGCGCCTCGGTAAACAGCTTGAACTTCGCTACCTGCTGCAAATTAGCGAAGCCCTCGGCATTCGCATGCCCCCCCGGCACAAGTTGAAGCTTTGGAAAAAGAGGTCCAAGCTTGGGGTAACATCCCTCGTCCGGCACAGGTGCAGAAAGCCGGCAATGTATGAATGGCTATTGGGGGTAAGTTGGCAGGGGATGAGTCCAACAAACCGGAGGTACTCCCGGAGAAATGGATGCAGGGGGAACCGGAGGCCCATGGACACTGACAGGATGTGGACGGCAATGCATCCCTCCGGAGGCCGGGACAGCAGATCATCGACGCTTGGCTCCACCACTACGGCCGAGGGCCCAACGTGCAGCTGCGTGACGTACAAGTCAGCCCTGTCCGCCTTCGACTTAATATCGAGGGCCTCGGTGTTTAGCCAGGTATACCCCTCTGGCATTTCAACATGCCCCCCAGCACCAGCGGCAACACTCTTCTTCTTAGGGGCAGCCCTCTGCGACTTTGTCTTCTTTTTACCGGGGGCTATCCTCAGAGGCGTCGGGTCCAACGACCTGGAGGTACTAGGCTCACCACAGTCAGTCCGAGGGGGTGGCACAGCAACAGTAACCATCATCGCCTCCTTTTGGGCTTCATCCTCCGCCACGTGACACGCGAGGGCTAGTTCTTCATCTTCGCACTCCTGTTCGAAGCCCTCGGCTTCCACCTCAGCAGCAAGGGCCTTCTGCAACTCCAAGGCCACGGCTTCGTCATCAGCCGAGGGCGCGCTGCTGCTTGACTCGACATCGGAAGCAACCTCATCCTCAACCGAGGGCTCCCTCGATATATTTTGGGAATCGCTCTCGGACGACATTCTTTGCCACAAAATGTGCCTAAGGTTTCGAAGGATTTGTACGGAACCCTAACCCTAAACTAAGGCCAAAGGGTGGAGCATACAAAAAGTGCTGAGGAGCGAAGGGAGAACTAACCTCTGAAAGTGCTGTGACCGAGGGCTTGAGTTTCTCTCTCTAGAATTTTTGGCAGAGCTTCGCTAAAGATTTTTTGGACGCGTAAGGGAGAAATGGCTCTGGCTCCGGGGTATTTATAGACCCCAGAGTCCGGGCTTGGGCCCGAAAACTGGGCCTCCGGATGGACGCCATCATTACACACCGCGTCTTCGCCCAACCGGTGACGCCGCCCACGGACAACCAGCCATCACACGCCACGTGTGCCCCCCCAACGGCTATATCCTGTCGTTACATATTCCAACGGCTATATTTCCAACGGCTATATTCTGGAAGCCCCCGGGTTTTCTACTTCACTCCTCTTCGTCAAGGGAAGCCTCCGGGTACACCTACCCAGAGATGCCCCCGGGTTGTGTCCCACACAGCACATGACAGACGCCTTCGGGACCACTCCCTCAGAAACCCATGGCTTCATATCAGGGCACCCCTCGGGGTTCCCCCTCATTGACCGGGTAGCCCCCGGGGGAGTGCCTCATTGATGGATGGCCCCTGGCACACAGGTAATGGGAGCCCTCGGGTATCTTCATCACCAACTAATCAACAAACAGTGGACCCCCCCGGTAACAACTTCACTGCTGCCCTCATCTGGGAGCCCTCGATCCCTGGATTGAGGGGCTCCCCTTCGACGCCACCATGACATCAACAGCAAGCCTTCGGCTAATCAACACAGGAGCCCTCAGAAGAGAGAGCCTTCGGCATTCCCGTCATTCTCCATTTTTTACCAAGGTTTGACATTTTCGATTCATCATTGGGGGAATTCGGTGCACTCTTTTTCCCTCATTAGGATTTTTTCCCAAAGGGTTTTTCCTAATGAGGTTTTTAACGAGGCATCCCCCCAAAATGAAACGAAAAGCGTCAGCCTTCGGCCCACAACAGCAACGTAACTACTTTACTCCTTTTCACCACTTTACAAGTGCCTCAAGGAGTGGGGGACTGGAGGACCCCCTCGGGAAAATCATCAAATTACAAAAGATGTAGAAATTCCAACAAACAACAGAGCAAGCCCTCAAGTCCCGACATGTGGGTAACTGAGGGACTGCCTTCAGCAGGGACATAAAAGCAACAACTCCTCACCAACTTCAGAGATCACGACGGGACAACATCAAGGGGCAAGCACAAATTACTCCTTTTCCCTCAAGTACCTTTCGGCAAAAGGAGTGAGGGACTCCTGATGGAGTATATGGCCCGGGAACCCCCAGCCCACAGACTCCTACTACTCCAGCGAAGGCCCAAAAGGCCCGAAAGGCCCAACAGGCCCAAATCACAGCGCCCAGAGTACCAAGCAGTCCGCACTACGCGCCAGGGGTGCCTTCGGCCCCCTGGCCGAAGGCTCCAAATTCTCACAGAACGGGTTTCTCAAGCAAATTAAGAAACTGGGAGAAAACGGCGAAAACAGTAGCCCTCGGCACTGTGAGCCCTCGGCACCAGGGTGCCATCGGTTGGAGGAGCCCTCGGCTACTGCTCTATGGCCGAAGGCTTCTCACTCGACAAGATATCCGCCTCACATGCGTACAGATCACCGTACCCCGCACAGACGTCCCGTCCAACAGCCGCATTAAATGCGGCCACATGCGGCTGCCAGCGCCAACCAGTTGAGGTGACCCCTCGGCCAATGAGCGCTTGACACGTGTCCCTGCCCGTCATTTATTGCTACTATAAATAGCACCCCATTTCCTCATTTGTAACCACGCTGAAAACGGCATTCATACTGAATACACTCTCTCTCTACTTTTATTTACTTGCTCTGACTTCTCTCTAAGTTATTCCCCGTAATAACCCTTCGGATATATACCCCCGGGTAGACTATCCATCAGAACCCAAGACCTCCCACAAAGGAGAGACTTGAGGGTGGATGATCATCCATTGGACTACACCCACCTTCCCAAAATAGTGCAAAAAAGTGTCCCCTTTTTGGGTATGTCCCATTAAATTTAATTTGTTCTATACACTATTATATGGAGTAATCGATATCCTAAATAATCTTCACACTTTCCTTTTTAGATAGATTCAAAATAAATTTCACACTTTCTCTCTCTTACTTATTTGGCAAATTGTCTACATCAAAACAGTACAAAACAGTGTCAAACAATATCACAACAGTGTAGTCAAATTTATTTCCTTAATTTGTGTGAAGTCAAAGTGTGAAGTTTATTTAGAACCAGAGGAAGTAATAATTTAGAGGTTTAACGATGAAGATTCATTTTTTTGCTCCGGGGGTGTGTGGGGGATGGGGGATGAGGGGCCTAGAGTAATCAGGGCTGAAACTAGTTTCAAACCCTTGTGTGCCTAGCGGCTAGCAGGTTTCGAACTCGAGACCTCCCACTAGGCACGGTAACCTCACAACCAACTGGGTTGGAATGCTTAGTTAAATTCATTTTTATTTTATTCATACTTTATCAATTTGATACGAAGTATTAATCATATTATTCTTTTTTTTTAAATCGCACCATACTTTTCTATCTCAGTCTTAAGGGGACGGAGGTAGTATTATGTAATAAATAATTAGTTCAAGTAAATTAAAAATTTATTATTACTAAAATATTTAAATAGTTTAATATGTTGTTATTTCACTTGGTAAGAGTCTTGAAAAATATTTATTAATTTTCATATTTTCTTTTTGGTCTCTACTAACTTTGAGCTCACATCCACTTGAAAAATTAATGTCCATTGCATAAGTATAATAAAAAAATTTAAATTCATCATTTCAAAAGAAAGTGGATGCTAATGTTGGAGCTAAAATGATTTTAAATTAATAATTCACATTTTTTAAATAAAAATTAACGATACTCTAAAGAATAAGATTGCGTGTTCTTTAAATGACATCAAAGGCCGAAATAAAAGGATATCTATTAGCCATTTTTGTCAAATAGACATTAATTAGCTTAAATTATGAGGATAAAAATGAAAAAATGATTTTGTGGTGGCGTAGTCAAGAAAACTATATTCGCTTGAGTTAAGAACATGTTTAAGTCTTACTAAAATATAATGCATTAAACTAAAATCTGTTTTGAGTTTCTTGGAAGAAGGTTATGGACTATCGACCATTTTCAATTAAATCAAAGTATTTACTATTTTAATAATATGCATGTAACCATTACATTTTAAAACTAATTAAAGAAACGTTTTATATAATTACTTGTAATTTTGGGTGGAAACACAACATACAATCCTAGATAGTACAATCTAAAACTGAAAAAATCAACTCACTATTCACATATTACATTAAAATAAATTAAGTTATGAACATGTTATATAACACTTTACCGAGAAATAATAATAATAATACTCTCAAACATATAAAACTAAAAGTCCAAAACACATATTCAATTGATCACGAACTCATTTTTTTCCTATACTTCAACAAAAGTCTACTTATTTGCTTTGCACTTTTTTTGTGGCAAAAATGACTATAATTTTTTAAAGAAACTCATTTGGATGTATAATAAATAATTGATCAATTCCTTACATTATTTGTTTAGTAAAAAATACTTTACAATTTAAAATGAACTCATACATTTTGAAGTGTCTTCAAAAATACCGTTTAAATTTATGCATTATTCTTTATGAACATTTACATCCGATAGTAATCTACCACTTGATTTATCCATTCATATTTGTTTAGAACTCTCTTATCCGCTTTCAATTAATTTAAACTAAAGTTCTTCTATAAAATTTATTTAATAAATACTCCCTCTACCCCACAAAACACAGTCATATTGACATTCATTGGTCAATGATGACCAAGTTTGACAAATGAATTTATTACTCCCTAGTATGAAATTATTCAAAAAAAATATATATAAATTATTCTTTATTAAAAATAATTAAACAAAAATATAAAATTTATAACGTAAATTCCACACAAGTATAATAATTGAATCATTGTCTAAAATTTACTATCATTAGTCAAGAAAAATAAATTTAGAAAATTTTTGTGGGAGGAGAGAAATATTAAAGAAAGAAATATATGATTTGCTGTTTTGTACTTTTATTCCATTCACTAGACACCCGTGTTATAAAAAACGAAATCCATTAACTTTTGTGTTTTGTTGGACTTATTTGATCTAGACAATTAAATGACACGTAGTCCTGTTTAGATGAAGAACTGATCTTGATTGTATTTAAAAGTAATGAGTTGATTTGAAGTCACTAATTGCAGTGTTTCATCCTTTGTTACTTTGTTTATTTTCACATGTGTTACCAAATAATTATACTTCTTTCCGCTAACGTTTCAATTTCAGTAACTTCCAACTAATTTCAAACGAAGTGTATATATAAATCAAAAGGAAATTTCTTGAAATAGGAATAAAAACGATTTAAGATTCCAAAATGAGATTGACATGTTTTTATTCTCTAAATATGAGTATATACTGCTAAGTTTGGACAATACTGTCATGTTTAAAAACTAATACTATCGAAACATGAGAATAATTACTCCTATTTAATAAAAAAAAATATGGAAGTCTTATTTTGAAATACACAAACATTTTTACTTTTATGTAAGCTAAGGTAGTTTCCCTAAACCAAACAACGAACTCGAGTTTCACCTCATTTTTTCACACATAGCATAAATCATGTTTATATCATGTTTGGGTGGTCTTAGGTATAATTTGCTTTTGTATTATAAGTGATTTTTATAACTTTCGATCACAATTATCTATGAAAAATGAAGATTACAATTGAACACTCTGTTAAATCTCATACCGGAAATGTTTGAGTCAACGAAGTGCTATATTAAGACATGAGTTGTTCCTCCTATCAGGTTAACCTTTTAGGATGGAACCTCGGGTGTTAACATGGTATCAGAGCCAAATCGATCCATGGTGTGGGCCCCTTATGAAAAATGATTGACATGATTATAAAAAAAATGACAATGACGAATTGACGAAAAAAATGAACGACGGCACGATCCAAACGAAGAGTCTGGTCGTGAGGAGGGTGTTCAATCCCACACCGGAAATGTTTGAGTCAACGAAGTGCTATATTAAGACACGAGCTACTCCTCCTATCAGGTTAACCTTTTAGGATGGAACCCTGATCTTAACACACTCACATATACTCCGTATAAGCCAATAATTGCTTGGTTACTTTATCATGAGACAGAAGTCCCCTGTGTTGGAAAATATTCCATTTAAGTGCCCTTGGACCATTTATAAAATTTAAGATATATTGGGGACATTTATGTCTTACAATTAAATTTGCCATATGACATATTTGGTCCCTGTATTTATGTATAGTTAACATATGATGGGTATGTTTTAACATTAAATAATACATAAGGGACCAAAGGGGTTTCTCTTTGATACAAGATAAAACACCCGTACGTTCCATTCTTACGACTAAAATGGCCGGACACGTCTCTTCCCAAAGGTCTCAAGAACACCTATATTAGGAGACCCAAGGAAGATCGTTTGATCATCGAAATCCGTTTGTATCCTTAGAGAATCCAAAAACATCATGACTTCATCATCTTCCCCATCAACGTTTGGTTTCTCCGGCCTCAACCGGTTAGTTTTCTTATTGTTTGATTATATGAATTTTATCATGTTCAGTGAGATCAGATCCTATTTGAGACTGAATTTATCAACATTTGGTATCAGAGCCCGTTAATTCTCACTTACGTTGATAAAATTTGAAGTTTTGAATATGCCTAAATGATTTATTAGTTTTGCCGATTATACTTTTCATGATGAAATAAAAGGCATTTAAGAATTCTGGTTGTCATGTTTCTTCTGGATTTTGAACCAACCATTTTGAGTTTAATTTGATGTCTCAATCGAGCAAGTTAATTCTCGTTTACCTCGATAAAATAAGAAATTTTCAATCTACCTAATTAATTCAACCGATTTGTGAATTCTGCAAGTTTCTGAAAGCAACAGATTGAGTTTCTGAAAACTCGTATGTTTTTCCACTATGTTTCTGAAAACATTTTTCCACTAAGTTCTCAAACGGCGGTTTTCAATTTGATTCCTTAATTTATTGCTGCCAGAGTTTTGATTGACATATTATTCTGCTTTAAAGTGATGTCTCTCACTGTGTTATTTTTTTCCTCATGTATATTAGTGGATTAATTGCCAACACACCGGCAAGTAGCAACATGTGTCTCTGCTTTATTCGTGTTTGAAATTCACTTTTCATCTTAATCCGTTTATTTGCTTTAAAAAGTGACTTGAAACACTAAATGACAGTTTATTTGCACCTGCAAATTTATTGTTGAAATCTAGCGTACCGCGTACGTAGTTTTATTCCACGTTAGTTGTCAGTTTGTATTTTTTCTTTATTCTAGTTAATTCTCCAGAAATTGGAATGGAGATAACGTTTAGATAGTTCCTATACATTTGATTTTGTTAAGGAAAATTAGTTAGGACTAATATTGCAGCAACTTCAAATTTTCTGCCATATTGAAATCATAGTATGGATTATTGATTAATGATCTTAATGTCAAATTCAATGATTGACCCAACGGAAGATTATTGATTTTGACTATCTTAAATAATTGTATCAGTTTTTCTTTTAACAAACCCAAAGGTGTGTTACTTGATAACTTGTATAATGAAATTTAAGCGTAATCAAATGTGTTATATTTCTGCCCAAAGGTGATCTGTGATACAATTTGCAGCCTAATTTTAATTTTAATATCATAATATTTGATAATTAACATTAGCCAACGCATTGTTAGTTATTAAACACGATATGAATTTTTCCTATTATTTGGTGTTGATAATAGGCTTATTTACTAATGATTGACATGCCTTGTTGTATTCCCTTATATATTATAATAATAGCTTCTATTATTACCTCTGTTAAAACTTTTATTTCAGCATCTACTGTTACCCCATATAATTATGGGATAGAACCTCTAAATGGTACAATCTTTTCAACATGGAGAGAATCTGTAAAGCTCTCACTTGGCATGATGGACCTCGACCAAGCACTGAGAACTGATCCACCGGATGCTCCTAACGCTGAGAGCACTGTGGATCAGAAGCGTTCTTATGAACAGTGGGAAAGGTCCAACCGAATGTGCCTCATGGTGATCAAGAATTCCATATTTGTCGCTATTCGCGGAGCCATTCCAGACTCTGAAAATGCGAAAACCTACCTAGAATATGTGGAAGAACGGTTTAAGGGAACTTCTAAAGCACATGCTAGTACCCTAATTCTTAAAATGTTGACAAGTAAATACGGTGGAGTGAGTGGTATTCGTGAGCACATCATGAAAATGTCTGATATGTCCAATAAGCTCAAAAGCATGGACATGGAGATCAGTGAAGGTTTCCTCGTTCATTTCATAATGACTCCTCTACCTGCATCATATGGTCCGTTCAAGATCAATTATAACACGCAGAAAGAGAAGTGGACAATGAGCGAGTTGATTGCTATGTGCGTTCAAGAAGAAGAGCGCCTTAAAGCTGAAAAACTAGATGTTGCTCATCTCACCACCACAAACTCAAAGAAAAGGAAAGGTAACCGTCAAGGAGGAAGAAAAAGTTATACTTCTAAGGTCCCAAAGATAGGTGCAAATGAGAGCTCCGGTCCCTACTGCAAGTTTTGTCGCTTCAAAGGGCATTACCAGAGGGAGTGCCCTAAGTTTAAGGCATGGTTGACTAAGAAAAGTAACTTAACCACTTATGTGATTTATGAGTCATTGAACACATCAGTTCCCCTTAATACTTGGTGGATTGACTCTGGTTCAATGGTTCATGTTTCAAACACACTGCAGGGATTCCATTCAATCCGGACATTGGGAAGAAAGCAAAGAGTGATTAAGGTGGGCAATGGAGAAGAATTAGAAGTGGAGGCCATTGGAACTATCTCATTAATTTTATAGAGTGGCTTCATTCTTCATCTTTGTGATGCTCTTTATGTACCTAATATTACTCATAATTTAGTGTCTGTATCGAAACTAAGTGTTGATGGTTTTACATTTAATTTCGTATACAATAAAGTGACATTAAGCTTGAACTCAAATGTAATAGGATTTGGTAGCATGGAGGGAAACCTCTATAAACTATGCTTAGATACTAATTTTATGGAATCCCCATTGTCATTTAATATAACTGAAAATCCTTGCAAGAGAAAGAGAGAATTAGAATCATCGTCTAATTTGTGGCATCAAAGGTTGGGCCACATATCACGAGATCGAATGATAAGACTCATGAAAGATGGCATTTTTCGAAATCTTGATTTCTCAGATTATGACAAATGTGTGAAGTGTTTGAAAGGGAAATTGTCTAAGAAAACTAAGAAAGGCGCCACACAAAGCACCGGTTTCTTAGAATTAATACACACTGATATTTGTGGGCCTTTTCCCGATTCCATTAGTGGTCATAAGTCCTTTATTACTTTCATAGACGATTATTCACGCTATATGTACCTATATTTGATTAAGGAAAAATCTGAATCACTAGATATGTTCAAGGCTTATAAAGCCGAAGTTGAAAATCAACTTGATCGAAAAATCAAAGTAGTGAGATCGGATAGGGGTGGAGAGTTCTATGGTCGACACACTGATATTGGTCAAGCTCCTGGATCTTTCCATGAATTTTGTAAAGATCACGGGATCATCAACCAATATACCATGCCTGGCACCCCTCAACAAAATGGGGTTGCCGAAAGGCGGAACAGGACTCTTATGGATATGGTCCGAAGTATGTTGGCTAACTCTAATCTTCCCCAATTCTTATGGACCGAGGCCTTAAAAACAGCAACCCACATACTGAATAGAGTACCATCTAAATATGTCCCTAAGACTCCATATGAGCTTTGGACGGGCAGGAAACCTAGTCTACGGTACCTAAAAGTGTGGGGTTGTCCGGCTGAAGCAAAAGTGTATAATCCTCAATTGAAGAAACTTGACATGAGAACCATCAGTTGTTCCTTTATTGGTTATCCCGAGAGATCTAAGGGATATAGGTTCTATTGCCCATCTCATACCACCCGAATTGTCGAGACTCGACATGCTGAATTCCTTGAGAATACAAACATTAGTGGGAGTAGTAGTGGTTCAAACTTTTGTGATGAACTTCAAGAGGGCAATGGAATAAATCCATTTATTATATTGCCCATTCCACCTAACTCCTCACTTGAAGATCATAGTGAAAGTCATACACCTCATAATAATGATGCAACAAGTCAAGAGGCGAATGAAACTCCATTCAATGTTGAACCAACTCCACCGGTTACTAATCAAATTCCGGAAAATCAGCAACCCTTAAGGAGATCTCAAAGGGTCAGACGCCCCACAAATTTTGATGAATAATTGATATATTTGAATGAAGAAGCCGACTTTGATTTAGGGAAGTCGTAGATCCTATATCTTTCCTTGATGCCATTAATTGTGACCAATTGACTCATTGGAAAGAAGCCATGAATGAGGAACTTCTTTCCATGGAGAAGAAAAATGTTTGGGAACTTGCTGAATTACCAAAGGGTCATAAGCCCGTTGGAAGCAAGTGGGTCTTCAAGACTAAATTAGATGCAAAGGGAAACATTGAAAGATATAAGGCAAGATTGGTCGCCAAGGGGTACACTCAAAGGGAAGGTGTAGATTATCAAGAGACCTTTTCACCCGTCTCTCGAAAGGACTCCCTAAGGGTCGTTATGGCTTTAGTAGCTCACTTTGATCTTGAGCTACATCAAATGGATGTCAAAATAGCCTTCTTAAATGGAGATTTACACGAAGATGTTTATATGATACAACCAGAAGGTTATGTTTCTAAGGGTCAATAACATCTATTGTGTAAACTCAAGAAGTCTATTTATGGGCTCAAGCAAGCATCTCGACAATGGTACCTTAAATTTGATGAAGTCATGAAATCAAATGGCTTCATTAAAAACAAAGTAGATCAATGCACTTACCTCAAAATGAGTGGGAGCAAATTCATCATACTTGTGTTATATGTTGATGACATCTTATTAGCAAGTAGTGACTTGGATTTGTTGCATGAAACAAAACGCTTATTATTTGGCCATTTTGACATTGAAATTCACCGAGACAGAGTCAAAGGGACGTTAGGCCTGTCCCAAAAGGCATACATTGAGCACATTTTAGAACGTTTGAACATGCAACAATGCTCTTCATCAGTTTCTCCAGTAGTTAAGGGAGACGTTTTTTGGGTCATTCCAATGCCCAAAACCCGAGGTTGAGAAAGAGCAAATGAAACTCATTCCTTATGCTTCCGTAGTTGGAAGCCTGATGTATGCACAGGTTTGTACTCGCCCAGATATCGCATATGTATCCGGTATGTTGGGTAGATATCAATCTAACCCATGATTAGATCATTGGAAAGCTGTTAAGAAAGTTTTGCGGTATCTTCAAGGGACTAAGGAGTACAAATTGACTTATCAGAGGTCTAATAATTTAGAAGTGGTTGGATATTCCGATTCCGATTTGCTAAGTGCAAAGACGATAGGAAGTCTACTTCGGGTACATTTTCTTGCTGTCAGGTGGGCCAATATCTTGGAAAAGCCACAAGCAAAGACTTACGACTACTTCAACAACGATGGCCGAATATGTTGCGGTGTACAACGCAACATGTCATGAGATGTTGTTAAGGAATCTTATCAAAGGATTCAAAGTATTGAATTCCGTCTCAAGACCACTAAGGATTTATTGTGACAATTCCGCGGCCGTGAGCTTCTCAAACAATGACAGTTCGAGTGGAGCGGGATTGTTCCTCGATACAAAATATTTGTTCGTTCGAGAAAGAGTGGAGGAAAACGAAATTTGTATCGTACACATCAGCACAAATGATATGCTAGCAGATCCTCTCACCAAAGGACTTCCGCCCAGTATTTTTCAAAGACATATCACTAATATGGGCTTGATCAAAGATCCGGTTTAGGAATTAATAGCATAGTGTCTGATTAGTTATCTTATTTAATATTTTCAAGTACTTGATTTAGAATTCCTCCTTAAGTATGTTTTGTCTATTCTTCATTGTGCACACAAAGTTATTTAATAGACAAACATAATGCCCTAAGTTTAATGTCATTTGGCTTATATTAATCCTTATACTCTTTAAGAGGTGTCAAAGTATGATTAATGGGGGTCCCGGGTTATATTGACCCATTAGACTGTATTTGTTTGCTTTGATATTATTATGGAGTAAGATGAAATTTTCTTGGCCAAAACTTACTTTAACTTATGTATAAATGATCTCAAGGTCAAGTGGGAGAATGTTGGAAAATATTCCATTTAAGTGCCCTTGGACCATTTATAAAATTTAAGATATATTGGGGACATTTATGTCTTACAATTAAATTTGCCATATGACAGATTTGGTCCCTGTATTTATGTATAGTTAACATATGATGAGTATGTTTTAACATTAAATAATACATAAGGAACCAAAGGGGTTTCTCTTTGATACAAGATAAAACACCCGTACGTTCCATTCTTACGACTAAAATGGCCGGACACATCTCTTCCCAAAGGTCTCAAGAACACCTATATTAGGAGACCCAAGGAAGATCGTTTAATCATCGAAATCCGCTTGTATCCTTAAAGAATCCAAAGACATCATGGCTTCATCATCTTCGCCATCAATGTTTGGTTTCTCCTCAACCGGTTAATTAATTTTCTTATTGTTTGATTATATGAATTTTATCATGTTCAGTGAGATTAGATCCTATTTGGGACTGAATTTATCAACACCCTGATCTAAAAATGCTACTTCAATTCTTATTTCAACCAAAAATAAGAGAAGCTGCAAAAACGTAACACATAATGTGAACAAATTGAATCCCAAAAAACTGTACAAAGTGTTGGCATACACCAACAGATGAGACTTTGCATGCACACACTTTCATGCATTTCACACTATATATGTAATTAATTTTGGTAATAATATATGGTGTTTTTATATGAGTTTATTTTTGTATATGGTATGAAAGAAAACAAAGCAGTTTAGAAGAAGGATCGCTTGACAGGAGGTCTACCCACAGCTCTCATCAGGTTGGCTAATTCCACAACTGCTGCCACTTTGGTTCCTCTCTTCCCCTCAGCTGAAGCCCTTCTTTCTTCTGCTTTTCTTCTAGCTTTTGCTATTTCGTTTTGCATCTTTTCTAATGCTTTTGCTCTCTTCTCCTCCAACTTCCTCTGTAAAGTAAAATTTTGTATTGTTTATTATTAGGACATTTCTTCAGCTTACTATTAAATTTATGCATCCTCATGTTTTCAGTATTCATGTATCATGTATTTATTTGACTTCCCCATTTTTTTGAAGTAAAATATTATTATTGACATTAACTGTCAAAAGGTGAGTAAGGTTACGTCATGGTCACTAGAATGTAAAGGTTAACGTAATCATAGTTACAAGAATAAGTTAATTAGAACCTTCCGAAAATAGGAGTGAATGAGTCGTACTTTGGAAATAAAACAATGATAGTCCTATTTATCAATTTTATCCTTGTTGTAGTCCTCTTTATGGATTTTTTTAATAAAATATAGTACTCCTATTTTCAAATTTCACATTCTTTTTACTCATATCTAAGATAATTGCATATACTTCATATGAATCAATCAAAACTAGATTAGTCTAGAATAGAAGACTAAACCGGTGCAAGCTAGATTATAAAAAACCACTCGAAATAAACATGTTCTGAGAGAGGCCACAAATAAAAACCAACTGATGAAAAACAAGAACACGTACCACCCTCCAAGGGTCCAAGTTACGTTGTTTGGTGGTCTAATGTTCGGCCTTATAAATCACAGTGGTTCAACTAATGTAATGATGTTAGATCTTATACTCGTGCGTATAGAGACCCAACTCAATACATAGGAACCGTGACATTCACACGACCGCTACAAGTTTCAATCATTGGTCTATCATATCTTAGGTGGCCCACGTGCAGAGTTTCAATATCAATATTCTTACTCATTGAGTTTTTGTAATGCGGTCATTTAGAAGTGTATCCACATATATACATTCCATTATTCCATTAGAACGTATAATTAATGATATGCACAAAAATTGTAAACTACTTCGACCATTGCCTGATTGCCGCACGTCAAAAATTCCAAAAGCTATCCAATTTTAAATGGAACAATAATCATATTGCTCTTATCTTTATATCTTATCCCTCAAGGTCTAATGACCTAATCGTGCCTCACAATGACGTGCTACTTTTCCACCAAAATAAACCTCATACTCCTATACCTATCCTTATTAAATATTCCCTTTCCAAAAGAAAGTCACGGTTTGACTTCACGAATATTAAGAAAATAAATTGACTTTACTGTATAAAACACTGTTTGACCCTGTTTAGACACGGTTTGGTAGATTTCTTTGCCAAATAAGGAAATAAGGGAAGTGTGACTTTGTTTTTGAAACATCTCAAAAAGTGAGTTTCTTTTAAAAACGGAGGGAGTATATACTATGGATATTAAGTTTCTGTTATCTGACCTTTCTAAATAAGTTTTGCCATACAATTTAACATTTTTTAATACCAAGAGCAAAAGAGATGATTTTTACGCAAGAAGTGTATAACATAAAAAAAACTCAACAAGCCACCTCCGTCCCGTTTAAAAGTTAAATAATTATTTGAGTGGAGTAATAATTAAATATATAAAATATAATGTTATTTGAGTATATTTTGGGAAATAATTTTCATGAGTATATATGATACAGAGTATAATAGTGTGACAACTGTGATGTTATATGTATATTATTTTTAATATTTGATGATAAAATTTCATTTAAGAGTATTAATTATTTTCGAAAACAGAAGTGAGAATCTTTATTATATAAGAATCTTTGAATGAGATGAGGGAGTTTTATTTAAGGTCACAACTCCGGTACACATTTAAAAAATGGGGTACCGTACATACCACTCACTTGATTGGTTCAAATCATTACATAATTTTTAATTTAAATTTAAATAATTCAACTACATCATTCTGATTGGTCCATGTGGACAAAGGTATGACATCTTAAAGGTATCATAGAATCTACCTTTATTTAATTCGTAATCTTTTTCTGATTTTGGTAGCATGCTTAAGAAAATAGTCTTACTCTTCCTAAATAAACTTCGTACTTTTCTTTATGAATATGTCCAAAATAAATTTCACACTTTCATTTTTGACGAGTTTTAAATATAAAGTTTCTCTTATAACATTAATTTATTACACACTTTGCAAGCACTTTCTCTCTCATTATACTCTATCTAGTAGAGAAACGAAAAAGTCAAGAAAAACCTAAAGTCTTGTGAAGTTTATTTAGAATCCAACGTTAAAATTATTTTGAGAAAATACAAATGATTAAAAATTTGGGGTTTTTACGCACCTCAACTTTCTTCATCCCAGAAGTTGCCTTCTGAACCTCTTCACTCTCCCAGCCGTTAATGATCGCATCTTCCCGCTTAAACCTGTTATTAATCTTCGCAATTTTCGCAGTTTCCCATGCACTAATCTTCGAGTCCACCTCCTCTTTCTTCACCCTCTGAACCGCTACTTCGCCGTTGACCAAGGCCAACGCCGACGACTCCCGACCGGCGGCGGCACGTCTAGGAGACGGCAGAGGATCCGAATCCGGCACGATCGCTAAAGGGTTGGTCTCTTGATACGGCGGCTCTTCTTCCCTAATCCGCTCCAAGTAGTTGCCGCCGGGAACATCTCTGTCGTGGGACTCGATGTCGCCGGCGTTGTCGGGAACAGAGGATCCGGCAAGGACCAAGGCGTTGAACTCTCGGCTCATGCTCGTGAAGTTCCCGCTAGAAGGCGCGGTGCTGCTACCGACAGATACAGAGGACGATGATCTCACACGGGCGGCGCGGCTGCTCTGCTGCGGCGGCGGCGTCAGAGCGTGGATGTCTCTGATGTATTCCTCCTCTTCATCTTCACCGCCTTCCTGGTTGTAGCTTGTGCTGGCTATAGCTAGTTGATCATTCAGCATATTTGGCAAAATTGTTTCTTTTGTAGTTAGTACGTGTTTGGGTGGTGCATAATAATGGTGGGAGATGAAGCAGAGAGGAAAGACTGTTAACCTTAATCATTGGCTGTATTCCAAGGTGTGATAACTATCTTTAAAATTGGTCCGGGCCGACGGATCCACGCCATCAGCAAATTGGGCTGGTCAACAAGAAAGGTTGGGGTAGGCCAAAAATTAACCTTTACAAACCGTATGTAAGAGTGTATAAAAAGTATATTGTGTACAACAAGAATGATTGGAAATTAATAAAACTCACTTTCTTTATTATCGATTCATAATACTTTCTCCGTCCCTATTTAAAAGTGCTCGTTTGAATGGCACACATCTTTAGACGAATTACTGTTCACCCTTTGACTGACCTTTTTGCCCTTCGAATTGGTGGGGGGTAATTTTTAAAGTTACCAGTGTACTGTTCACAACAGTGCACTGCAACCTTTTCAGACTTGTGCTTTATCTGTTCTTATTAATCGTCTGCCGCCAACCCAAAAAAAAAGGAGGGAAACTATTCCCTTTCATGGCTGCACTGTCATCATCAAATTCAAAACTCCCCCCAAAACCAACAATAAAAAGGCAACAGCCTAGCGAAGTAGTGCCAAATTACATCAATTTGTCACGTAAAAAATGGTAGAAAGTTCAGAGTTACAAATTGCTACAAGATCAAAGTACATAAAGCTGTCGAATGAAGATAGAAGAACTATCCAAACTCTTCTTCTTCAAAGTGAAAGACCAGATGACAGAAAGATTGGCTATGGCAGCTTGACAAAAATAGCCAAGCAGTTCCGGGTGCACCGGAAGGCTATATCAACAATATGGCATCTCCTCATTCAACAACAGGCATATGGAATTCCCTTGAACCCAGATCTGAGGATGAAGGGAAAAGTTGGTAAGAAAGGCTTAGTCATTGACCTGTCAAAAATGCTGCATATTCCTCTAAGCAACAGAAGGAATCTCAGGTCACTCTCTGCAGCTTTAGGTCATCCAAAATCATGTGTGCACAGACTCAAACAAAAAGGTGAGTTCAAAAGTCACACATCGGCTATCAAACCTCATCTTACAGACTTGAATAAAATACAGAGGTTAAAATGGATCATTTCTAACATTGAAGAGGACACAGTAACAAATGTACCCCAGTATAAAGGCATGTTTAACGTGGTACATGTGGATGAAAAATGGTTTACATGACAGAGGCATCACAGAGGTACTACCTACATCTGGATGAGGTTGAGCCTCATAGGACATGTCAATCTAAAAGATTCATCACTAAAGTGATGTTCCTGTGTGCAGTTGTCAGACCAATTATACAAGCAAATGGTGAAGTGATTTTTGATGGCAAAATTGGAATATCCCCATTTAGTACAATGCAACCAGCTAAGAGAAACAGTAAACACAGGGAAGCTGGCACACTTGAGGAGAAAGCTATTGTTTCAATCACAAAGGATGTTTACAAGGAATGCCTTCTTAGTTTTGTATTGCCTGCTATCAAAGCTAAGTGACCTATAGGTGTGAGCAAGCATATTTACATACAACAAGGCAATGCAAGACCTCATATCAATCCAACTGATATTGACTTCATAAGAGAAGCCACTTCAGATGGATTTAACATTGAACTAATATGTCAGCCTCCTAATAGCCCTGATCTAAATGTGTTGGATCTAGGGTTTTTTAGAGCTATTCAGTCACTGCAACAGACCACACCAAGGAACTCAGTTCATGATCTCAGAGTGGGGGTGGAAAGTGCTTATGCTCAGTTCAGTCCTATTGCATTGAATCATGTTTGGTTGACTCTACAGTTGTGTATGAATGAAATTATGAAAGTCAGGGGAGGCAATAACTACAAGGTGCCACATGTAGGAAAAAGTAAAGTAGAAGCTCAAGGTAACCTACCAATCTGTTTCAAAGCTGACTCAAATGCATTATTGGAGGTGACTGAAGAATTGCCCTTGGAATGAACTTGGATTGAACAATGTGGAAGTGTTTTTTGGGGACTGAACAAGTTAAGTATTCACATTTTTTACTTTTTGGAATACTTGACATGTTCAGTCCATTAAAAAATGGGTACATACTCATTGGAAGACATGGATAGCTTTTTTGGATAGATCGACAAACTAGTGCAGCAGTTAAGATATGACAAGGTTGAAACTGTTTCAGGGTTGTGAACATGGAAAGTGTTCAATTTTTTTACCTTTTGGAATACTAGACATGTTCAGGGATAGCTTTTTTAAATAGATTACTAGACAAAAATTTGGTTGTAATGCATTTCATTATACCTACACAAATGTGACTAATGCAACCTCTACTTTTGTATTTTGACTTTAAACAATGCTTGCCACACATCCCCATGGTCTCCTAGGGTTTCCCCTGGTGACTCAGTAGGGGTGAAACCACATAAGAAGCACACACTACCATCACAGACGAATTACAAACATCAGAAAACCAATTACATGCAGTTCATCATTGAAGACATTCACATTACAAACCCCCATGGTCTCCTAGGGTTTCTCCTGGTGACTCATTAGGCCTCAGACACACATAAATAGTTCACAGATTCATCATTGACCTCATACAAACATCACACACTCACCACTATGCACACACTAACCTGAGGCCTCATATACACCACAATCACAGATCATTGACCTCAGACAAGCATCACAAACACAGATAACGATTTATCATTGACCTCAGACAAGTACACACACACCTGAGGTCTCATATACACCACAATCACAGATCATTTACCTCAGACAAGTACACACTGACCTGAGGCCTCATATACACCACAAACACAGATCATTGACCTCAGACAAGCATCACAAACACAGATAACAATTTATCATTGACCTCAGACAAGTACACACACGCCTGAGGCCTCATATACGCCACAATCACAGATTACCTATGTAATACTTAAGAATTTGAGTACTTAGATTAAGTTAATGTTTCGGGACGAAACATCTTTTAAGGAGGGTAGAATGTGACACTTCAAAAATTTAAATAAAAATAAAAATAATTTTTAGTCAGATAAAATATTACAAAAATAACATTTTTGTAATTAATTGAGTCAGACAAAAATTCAACAGTTGTAACATTCTAATCAGATAAAATTTTCAAAATTTATGACGTTTTAATCCGATAAAAATACTTCAGTAATAAGAACAACATTTTAGTAAACTAGTGAACCAGACAGAAAATTTACATTTACGACATTTTTAATCAGATAAAAATGGTCTGATAATAGAAGTTATGTTTTAAAATTAACTTTTATATATATATCTATTTTAAATTAAGTATAATAATACACAAATACAATAATATAATAAATAAAATATAATAGAAACCTACTCCTAATAAAACTAAACTAAACTACCAACGCACGAATTTTAAACTAAACTACCTACGTGCAAACCAATTTAAATATAAACTCTAACATCCAAACCAATTTGAACTACACAAACAAATATGAACTCCTACGCAACGTAAGCTACCAACGGGAGAAACTGATTAAACTCCACATCCAACTCTAACATCTCAGCCTAAAACCTTCATCTTTCCCTATAAATAGCAAGCCAGAACCTACGTTTTCTTCATCCCAAAAAAAAAACTACGAAATATACATACATATATACGTATATTATATATATTTTTTCGACCCACCGTTTGAGACAGAACCAAGCCCTGAAAACACCCCTCAAACCTTCACCTTCGTGATACGAATCCAACGAAAAAAGAATCGTCGAAAACGGTCGTGAAACGAGGGAGAAAAGCATCACCGGAGTTTCGCCGGAGAAAAACTTTTCGACGGAAAACGGAGAAGAGGGAGGAGCTGCCGCCAACCCACCACCGTCATTCGCCGTCCCAAACGGAGCCAATAGCCGGCCGTTTCGCTCGTCCGACGAGGTAACACCTCCCCCCCCCCCCCCCCCCCCCCCTTAAATTCCCGTTTTTCCGGCGACTTGGTGGAGAAGACGACCCAGCCAAGGCTGGGGTCTGTCTTGGGCCTGATTTTTTTGGGCCAGAATAATTTAATTTGGGCCAGTTCGGCCCAGTTGCAATAAAAATTAAAAATAAAATAGTAAATGAAATAAATAAAATCTGGAAAAATATAAATTAAATACCTAGTATAAATATACATATTCGGACCAACCAGAATTGGAAAATAATATTTTTAGCTATTTTTAATGGATTTAATGGTAATTGGGCCAATTTATACACATTTAGTAAATAATTAACTAAATAACGAAAATAATTATGAAATAAATATTGGAGTAAACTAGGATAAATATATGACTAACTAGGACCTTATGGACCATTTATAATTAATAAATATTAAGATTTAGTATATTTAATTGTAATTGAACCGGTTAATAGATATATGAAATTAGAGGAATAATTATGGAAAATAATTATAAAATAGATATCTGGACAACCTAGGTCGAATATAGACCCAAAATATATTTATGGACGGTTTTTAATTTATAAAGTCGATTCTTAGTCTATTTATTTAAATTAGGCCATATAAAACTAGTTAAGTAATTAAATAAGGAAATATTAATATTAATAGTGATTATTGAATAAAAAAATTGGATGTTGTAGTCAATTATATTCAGATATTTTATTTCAAATATTGAAAATTAATGGATAAAATTATTAAGGTAATTTTATTAATAGAAAGTGAGTGATTAAATAAATTCGGATAATTAATAAATTAAGTTAATAAATTCGAATAATAAAATAAAAGGAGAAAATCGGGTAAAGTAATTACAAATAGAATAAGTGACTAATTTATCATATTTAATTAAAAAGGTGATTATCTAGAGACCGGATTAGAGGAGGATAACTAGGAGCATCAGGACTTAAGGTAAGTTTCTCTGCCAATCCAAAATTGTTTCCTCGTATTATATGCTTATTATATGCATTATGTGATTAAATGTGAATTGTGAATTTTGTGTATGTGATTTGAGAAGATATTATATATATATGGTAGTTGAGAAATATAAATTAAGTACTTTTGGGGTATTAAATATTTTTAAATACCTTTGAGACTCTTTAGAGAAATTAAGAAGTATTTTTGAAGTATTGTTAAGCAAAGATAAAATTTACATTTTCATAAGAAGATAGCATCTCGGGAGTAATCCGAGGTGTCGATTTTTCCACATCCAGATAAATGTGGAGGGTGATTAGAGCTACTACTACTAAGAAGTACAGTTTGGATCTATGCTCCCTTTTAAGTAAGATTTGGATCTATGATCCCTTTTAAGTAAGATTTGGATCTATGATC